TAAGTTTCAATTACATTTTAGGCTGTTATATTAAATGCCAAATGGATTTGTAATGACCCTCACTTAATATGCAACAAAAACAGGAGACTATTAGCAACTTTATTTTAAGTTTTCACTCCAAATATTCTTCTAACTCAAGAGCTCTGAAAACACAGGTTTTGTATTATTCTACCCTGGCTTCATGGCTAATGATGAATATACTTGATGAGGAATACTTCACTTTAAGTGGCAGTTTTGAAGTACTTGCATGGAAGGTGGTGCACAATTAAAATTATTCTAACAGTCTGTTATGCACTGTATACAAGTAATAAAATTAATGGATGCACTTCAAGTAATGATCCATTTCCTCTGGGTGCAATATATTTATTCATAGACTATTTCAGGGGTTGTTTAGAATATGAAATGTGAATGGATTATGATCCATTATCCCTGAGATTCTAATGTGCTACTACGAAATGGTTTCCATAAGTATTGTTCATAACGCCTGGTGAGTTAATGTTTGTGTTCTTAAGTAGCTAAGAAAAAATTAGAAAAGCAGATGCTCAGTTGATACTTAAAACTTTGCAGGTATCTGCACTTATAAACTGTCTTGAAACCAAGTTTTCAGTTAAGAAGCATAATTCTGTGAAATGCACATAAAACAATTATATTGAATAATAAAATTATTCACATGGGTGTATTTGCTGGGGAAACAGTACCTTTATTTTTCTGAAAAGTTTTAAGGGACTTTTTAATAATCTCATTACTAGTAGTAGATAATAGGTGGCCAATTAATTCATGAAGTTGAAGTAATAACATTTCCAATTTTAGTTGATCCCTCCTCCAAGTATTTTAAATCAAATTCGAAGGAAAAGAGAATGCCTGGGTCTCTGTATTTGGCTTTTCGCATCTGTGACTATTGCTCCCCTAGTGTTTGTATTTGTATGAAATAAGCTATTGATTTGGTGTTGGGCAAGTTCACAGGTAAAGTGTGTTTATTTTGTACCTACTCTAAGCTGAGAATTCTATCAGCTACTACCAGTGAAAACATTTTTCTTAGGGGATTTTATAGTTTAGAACGACAGGATATACTCTTGTTGAGCAGGAAGCATATTCATATATGAATTAATACAGTATTTCCATATAAAGCCTTAATAATAAAATGTCTGATTTTCGGCAGTCAAAATCATATATTATTTAGTGACATGTAGAAATTTCTGTTTTTAACTTTTGACATGGCTGTCCTTTGTAACTTGAATTTCAAATGATTATAAATTTATGACCGATTATTCCAAGATTCCCTAATAAGCTCTTATACATTCATTGCTGATTGATATGATTTCTTACAAAATGTATAAATATACTTTATCCCATATTAGTGTCATATTATATAAAATTACTACTATCATTAAAAATTATTTATTATTTTTCACAAATGATCTTTCTCAGTCATTAAAAACTCTTCTCCGGTCCCTAATTTCACCATTTGAAAGATCTGATCTCTTTTCCTTGTTTCCTATAGGTTCTTTTTGCATTTCTTTATATTAGCATTGACTAATATTTATTGGTTGCCTAGTATATGTCACGTTTGTGTAACAATTCACACATGTTAACTCAGAACCCTGATAGGTGTTCTATGAAGTCAATTGTATTTTTTAAAAAATTTTAGTTTATATTGGAGTATAGTTGATTGACAGTGTTGTGTTACTTTCAGGGGTACAGCAGAGTGATTCAGTTATATATACACATGTGTCTATTTTTTTTCAGATTCTTTTTCCATTTAGAGTACTGCAGAGTATTGAGCAGAGTTCCCTGTGCTTTACAGTAGGTCCTTGTCGGTTAACTATTTTATATATAGCAGTGTGTACATGTCAGTCCTCATTCCATGGATGAAAAAAGTAAAGTCTAATGAGTACTTAGCAGAACCCAGTTCACTCATTTAGTAAAGGGAGGGGTCAGATTTGAACTTACCAGAGCTCTTGCTGTGAACTTTTATACCCTTTTGCCTGCCTTTGCCATTTATCCTAAAGAGATCCTTCTTGTACCTGTTGTTATACTTTCATTCCCTTTATTCAGTTATAAAAGTCAATATGCTTATAAGTGGAGAGTACTGTAGATTTCAAAGTGGAATGGTACTCAATTCACTTTTCCCATTTATATTAATTTCTTTTGTAGCAATGTTTAGCATTTGGACATATTTTAGGCATGACATTGAACTGATAGTTTTGGGTAATAATCAAGGACTCATTAAATTCTATCTCTGGATTTTATTAGGTGCCATAGAACTTACTGATACTTCAGTATAATTTGATTTGTATTTTGCTGATTAAATTAACATGCATTATTCATATAAAAATTAATTTATTATTTTTTCCAATTGCTTAGGGGTTTTCATATGGTTGACCTCAGGAACAGTGAGATAATATTTTCTGTATTCCCTTATCATTTAGATTAATGCTAAATAAATTCAATCCAGCATCATTCTATCAGTACTTTTAATTTACTTTAGCATTTCTTATTTGTCTATCACGGACTTGGACTACCAAGGACTCCCTTCTTCTAAGTGCTTATTCACATTTAATATATGCTGAAAATATTTCTCCTAAACATCTGGTCTTTTAGATCCATGGCACATTTTTGAGTCATTTTCTAACATAATTTACAGTTTCTACCCTGTGTATTTTTAAATTACTTCATTTTCCAGCAATAATATCAGCATTTTATCATAGTATTTTTTCTCAAAATGAGTGACTATATGACCAGATGTTTGGATTCTTCTCTTATATTTGGCAACGAATATGATCATTTTATAACTATAGTTTCTTAGTGGCATCCCTCGGAACATATTTTGATATAATTCTTGGTCACTGCTCAAAACCAAATTATCCCAAGCAGAATATCCCACGAAACATCCAGATGTCTCAATGTCTCAATAAAACCAGTTGCTTCCTTAACTACTACAAGGGTATTAGAGGAATAGTTTACTCCTACAAACCACAGGCTGCCTTTTATAGCTGTATATGTAGAAATGATATTTGTGGTTTGTTTTCTGCAGTATCATCTTGAATAGTGTCAAACTCTGAAATTAGCGAAACTGGAGCTGTGCTTCAAATGAATTGAGAGATGTGGTTTGGAAGCATAGCATAATTTTGACAAAATAAAAATCAGAGTATCTGAGCAGAGTAAAGTAAAAGAGAATAAAATAATATAATTGTTGACTTCAAATCCATGTTTTTTATTCTCTAGAAGGAGGAAAGGGGAGGCATGTACAAGTTAGCAGAACTTCAGGCCTCATATTTGCTAGAGATGGTCTTCAGACTTCTTAATAACTTACTGGTCCTTTAACTAAATCATATTATCAGAAAGTTGTATAAAATAGACAGTCATAGAAGTAGATTCTCCTGGACAAGTTGGTCTTCAATAAATCACATTAGCCCCTTAGATACTTTAATCTAGAGGAAGACTCTTACACTGAGCTTATGATCTCTTTTGAGATCTGTGAATATATGTAGGAATAGGAAACATTTGAGTATTCCGTATTTCAGAAATATTAGGAAGTTATCAGTGCTATCATAGCTATGTTTTTTTTCCCACTTTTTTTTCCATTTATTTTTATTAGTTGGAGGCTAATTACTTTTACATAGCTATGTTTTAATGTCCATATTATATTTAATATTTTTCTTAAGTGTAATTTATTAAGGAAGTTGCTATGTAAACAAGTTGTGTGTATAAGAACATTTACATGTTGTGAACACTACAGAATTAATCCAGAATTAATAATGTGATATTGGTGTACTCTCATTAGTACAGCATTAGTTACATATCACACTTTGAAAAAAAAATTAAATGAGATGACATATGTTAAAAGACAGCATATTCCGTAAGACATAGTAGGTTTTCTAGAAGGCTAAAGTTGATAATGATTTGGTTATGTTTCCATTTTGCCCTTGATAGATTTTTTTCTGCTTAAGTATTTCTATAGCTGGTTTTCAAATATTCAGATCAACCTCCACATTTGTAAATGATGTGTAAATAATTTAAAAATCTTCTTTATAATTAAAAAGATTATTTTTCCTAATGCTTGTTTTCTTTCTTTGGACTCATGTGTAGTCTGCTTATTTCTGGCTTTGTATAGCATAAACAGATAATTAAATTGATTTTTTAAAAATACATGTTCACTTTTTACAAAATAGAAGTAGAGTCATGGATGTAGAAAGCGAACTTCTGGTTACCAGAGAATAAGGAGAGGAGAGGGATAAACTGGGAGATTGGAATTGACGTATACACACTACTGTATATAAAATAGATAACTAATAAGAACCTGCTATATAGCACAGAGAACTCTACTTAATACTTTGTAATGGCCTGTGTGGGAAAAGAATCTAAAAGAGTGGATACATGTATATGTATAACTGATTCACTTTGCTGTATACCTGAAACTAACATATCACTATAAATCAACTAGATGGCCAATAAAAGCCTTTAAAAAGAAATTGGAAATCTAAAATTTTATGTCCATATTTTAATTAAAGACATGTATGACACAGTGATCAATAAAAGGATTTTAAACAAAAAATCCAAATAATAACAATTTAACAAATTGTAAATCTTTTTAAAAAGAAAAATATGTTAATTTTTAGACCGTATAGTTTAATAATATACATGATATTTAACATTTATTTGGAAATATCCAAAAAGCTATTTGTCTCTAATCTTCCATCCCCCATCATAACTTTGTGCATTTTTTGTTTTTATTTAAATGTATTCTACTCTACTATATCTTATGTATCCTTATCTAGTACTTTGTTGTATTCACATTCTTTGATAAAATGCAGTTCCAGCAATTTGTAGTCAATAATGAGAAATCGTATTGATACTTCAGCTTCTTCAATAAATAAATTATTTATTTGAAATCATTCAGGTGATGAATAGTTTTAAACGAGACAACATTGGTTTTCAGATAATGTCTTTCAGTTTGTGGCTTCAGTGGATATATATATTTTTTAAATCTGTGTTTCTAGAGGGTGTTAATGCTGACAGTATCAAACAAGCCTCAGAACAACTGAACAGCCGGTGGATCGAGTTCTGCCAATTGCTAAGTGAGAGACTTAACTGGCTGGAGTATCAGAACAGCATCATCGCTTTCTATAATGAGCTACAGCAATTGGAGCAGATGACAACTACTGCAGAAAACTGGTTGAAAACCCAACCCACTACCCCATCAGAGTCAACAGCAGTTAAAAGCCAGTTAAAAAATTGTAAGGTAAGAATCTTTGCTCCTATTTGGAGCATCATAAGTAGGAATTTCTTAGAAATTTCCAGAAGAAGAGCAGAGTACTTAATGATAAAATTTTCCTCTTAAGGGTTTAGTGAAACAAAGTAAAGATTAAAATAAAAATGACAAAACTCATTTAAAATAGGTAAAATATGGATAGCTGAGTCCAGAAAAGCTTAGTTACACATAATTAATTGATTTTCTCAGATTGCAAAATGACGAGGCAGTATTGGGATGTGGGAACCACATGTATCCTATGGAAAGTGGAAAATAATTTGGAGCTCTTTCTTATAACGTTAAGAGGAAAACTCAGGCATCTGTTCAAAATGTGAAATCCACACAAACACAAGCAGCTGATATCCTATATAATTGGATACATGAGGAAAATCTTTTAAAATGGCAGTTATTAAATTTGGATAATTAGAGGAAGGTCATTTACAAAAATACTTTTTTATATGTGCTTGGAATATAGAGGAATCTCAAGGGATAGTACAGTAACCCAGCATCAAAGCTGTTATTATTCTTAAAATAGAAGGGATCAGGGAGAGAGAAGTTACAGAAACCCTGAAGATGAATTAGATGTCCATTGTAAAGACAGCTTTCAGAGCCAGTCCAAGTGCTAACACAGGAATGGAGCCAGAAAAATAGAGACTCTGTTTTACTCTCTTTCTTGCCTCCAGATTCTGAACAGGACTCCCCATCAACTAAAATTAATCAGAAGTCAGAGGACAAAAAGCGGTAGTCTATAACTGTCATTCTCCTAGGTTACAGGAGAAGGTTGGGCTGTGTATCTAGTAGGGTAATCAAGATACAACACACACAAAAGGGCGGCGGAAGAGACTGAAAGAGTACTCTGCATGTGTAAGAAAACAAGGGATATATCAGTAGAAACAACTTGAACTTTTTGCATAAGTAGTTACTACAAAATGTTAGTTTGCATAGTTAAAACACTTTTCATGGGAAGTAGGAAGTTGCTTACAGGATAGATGAAAAGGTTTCCAGGATGAACTTTAAGGGTAGACTGAGGTGACTGGGTTTAATTTTAAAAGCAGTAAATGAGGGTTAATCTGCATACTTTGGAAATAATGGTTTAAATAATGGGAAACTGAAGATGGAGAGATGACAGGGTTGGTTTGGAGGCTATTGAACCCAGAAAGTGATGGGAAATTCAAAGTTATTTTGAAGGGGAAGTCAAATGAAGGATTTGATGCTTCTTCTTCGCATAATGAAACTACAGCTTTACTAGGAAGTAAATACATTTAGCAAATACATTTTTGGATAAAGATACCATATAGTGAGGCATTTATTTTATTAGCGAAATATACAAGTATAGGGAATCTCTTCTCCCTATAATTCTAGATACATTTGCATTTTGCTATTAAAGAATAGAATCCATGACTTTGTTCTGTGAATTAGTGGAATATTTCACCTATATCATTTCTTGCAATAAAAAAATCTGATGATAGTTCTTTAACCTGTTTCTTGAAATTCAAATATAGACATTAATTACATCTTCAAAATGCATTCATCTATAAAATACATATTCAGTGTCTCTAATGTGGCCAAGAGTGATATTAAGTGTATTAACTGGTTCGGGCTGCCATAACAAATACCGTCAACTGGGTGGCTTAAACAAAGAAGTTTATTTTCTCGGAGTTCTAGAGGCTGAAAGTCCTAGATGAATGTCTGGCAAGGTTCAGCTTCTGGTGAGAACTCTCTTTCTGGCTTGCAGACAGCTGCCTTCTCCCCATGTTCTCACCTGGTCTTCCCTTGGCACATGTGCATGGAAGGAGAAAGATCTCTCTCTCCTTGTAAGGCCACTGATCCTATCAAATAAAAACACCTGTGTTTAAGACCTGATTTAACCTTAATTACTTACTTAAAAACCTCATAGCCAATTATAGCCACCTTTCGAGGTTAGAGTTTCTACACGTAAATTTGGGGGGGTGCATCATCCAGTCCACTGATTCTCCCCCTGCCCCCTATTTATGTCCTTGTCACATACCATGAGCCCCCAAAGACCAGAAGTCATAACTCATTCCACCATCAACTCTAAAGTCCAAAATCTCGTCATCATTTAAATCAGATATGGCTGAGACTCAACATACAATTCATCCTGAGATAAATTGCCCCTCTGACTGTGGACCATTAAAACCAGGACAACATATGTGTTTTCAAAATATGATAGTGGGACAGGCATAGGGAAAGGCATTCCCATTCCTAAAGGAATAAAAGTAGGGAAGAAAGAAAGGATGATAGATCCTAATCAAGTCCAAAATTTAAGATTTGAGAATAATCTCTGGCTTGATGCCCTTCCTTCCAATCCTGCTGGGGTGATAGTTCTACCGTTAGGACCTACTGGGGTGGTAGGCACTTAAGTTTTGCGAAGGTCAGAATGAGCGTTCATTGATCCTACCCTTATAACATTATTGTAGAGTAGATGAGAAGACATTAAGTAAATGATTAAATAAACAGATATAAAATTACCACTGGGGCAAATGTTTTAAACAGAGTTCTGGGAGAATAACAGGGAAATTCTGACCTAGACAGAACCACTAAGGGCAGCTTCCTTGAGGCAGGTACATTTAAGTTGAAATTAGGAGAACAGCAGGGAAGGAGGCTTCAGGCAGAATAAACATGGTGGGAGGGAGCAATAATGACCAAAGAACTGAAATAAGGCCGAGGTGAATACTGAGCATAAAAAGGCAAAAATGCAAGCATATGGTGGCTCAGATGGTAAAGAATCTTCGTGCAATGCACGAGGCTGGGGTTCAATCCCTGGGTCAGGAAGATCACCTGGAGAAGGAAATGGCAACCCACTCCAGCATTCTTGCTTGGGGAATCCCATGGACAGAAGAGCCTGGCTGAACAGCCAACACTTTCAATTTTCACATAGGAGACAAAGCAATGACTCTTAGGGCACACTAGGTCCTTGGTCTTTTTCTGAGAAGAGAATGGAGATCACTGGGAGTTATATATCTTAAATATTCCTTCAGGGTTAGAGAAGTCATCCTAAGTGAAATTAATTCTTTTTTTTCCTGCATTCAGCCACAAAGTTCCAAATTCTGATTATATGATTCCATCCCTTTTTATCACCCTTATTCTTTCTCTCTTCCCCATTGGTTTCTGTTAATTTGATGTATCACCTTAGGTACAATGTTTAGCAGGATAGCTCAAGATCATTCACACAACAGTGAAATTGTACTACTTCGTTGTGATCAGCGATAGGGAAATCGATTACCTCTTCCTATTTGTCAATGTAGTCTGTTAATTGGAGATGTTTTTTAGGAGTAGGGTGCAGATTTAACTCAGACTCTAATATTTACCAGAACTGTTCTTGACATGTTGAGGGTTAGGGAGCACTTTAGGAATTGGAAGAAAACCATGGACATTTTCCTGAGAAAAATAAACATTTTTCCAGGGTTAACATACAATTTTAAAGGATAAACAAACTCAGAGAACATGGCTTACTGTGGAGGACCAACCACACTAAGGCTTTTTTATGGAAATAATGAGTAACTGTTATCATTGTTAACATCTTTTAAATGTTAAATATTTGAGGTCAGAATGATATTTCCTATAATTTACTATCAGAACTTTAAGATCCCAGCTGAACGTTTGCCCAAATGTTTTATTAGTTTCAAAGTTCCCTTTGTTTCGCAGAATATACTTTGCTATACTGTAGACTCCTTATATAGCCCCCTAAACAGGGAGAATGACGGCTTTCCATCTGGCCAAATGTAAATCGGGTTATTAAATGTTTCACAGCAGATGTCAACGGTACCATTTGCAAGTCTAGTGTACAAAGTGAATGTCTGTAATTCTATGATCCAAATCACAGAGTATTACCTTTTGCCTCTTTCTTATTCTTCGTCTATGAATATACAGCTACCTTCTCGCACTTGATCAAAAGACTTTATATTTGAATGGGAGAGATGGGGGTCATCTCCTCATTTATTTAAATGTCTTTCATTTTCACCTACCAGATGAATCAACTCATACTGATATAATCACATACCAAAATTTCCCTGAAAGTTATCTTTATATCTTCTAAAAATAGATAAAATGATCTATGTGATAAACTTATTCATTCCTAAGACAAATGTTACTTTCTCTAAAAGAGTATGCATGCATCCAAATATATATATATATATATATATTTACCTTTACTATAATTTCTGTGAAGGTGAGATTTATATTTTGTTCATAATTACTATAATTCTATAAATTTTCCCTTCTAATTGGCTTGTGTTTCCTGATAGCTCAGTTGGTAAAGAATCTGCCTGCAATGCAGGAGACCTCGGTTCGATCCCTGGGTCAGGAAAATCTGCTGGAGAAGGGAAAGTCTATCCAATCGAGTATTCTGGCCTGGAGAATTCCATGGACTGTATAGTCCATGGGGTCGCAAAGAGTCACACACAACTGAATGACTTTCAGTTTCAGTTGGCTTGTGATCCAATTTTTTAATTTAATTATCCTGTTTTTATATTTTGAATGGTAAAGAATCCTGAAGTACTTTTTCTAGAGGTAGCATAGTTATGATTTCTAAGTGAACAATCATAGTAATAATACTTTAAAAAACATTTTTAATTTCTTTGAGTTCAAATTACATATGTTTCAGATACTTATGAACTGCAATTTATTGGAGACAAAAGAGTTTGAAGACATTTATATTAAGAACAGCACCATTCTGAAGAAATCGAATGCAGGCTACAAATGTGAACTACATGTGTAATTTTAAATGCTCTAAAAATGACATTGAAATAGGAAAAAAATAAGTCAGTGAATTTTGATAACATGTTATATTTACCCTGATATATCAAAAATATCATTTTAGGATTTAATAATTATTTAAATTTATGTGAGTTTGTATTTTCATACCAGCTCTGAAATCTAGTGTATGTTTTACGATGACAACACATCTCAATTTGGACTAACTACTTTTCAGATGCTCAGTAGTCACAGTTGACTAGAGACTACTACACTGGATAGCCTGGCAGAATGTCCATGTGACTTGATCAAACAAATCAGAATAGTCTTGAGAGTGAAAAGGAGTGTTATTAACAATTATGCCGAGAAAACAAGAGTCAAACAGAGCAAAGAGTCCCTCTAATTAAAATGATAGCAATTGCCTATTCAGTCGGAAGAAGTAAGATCATACAAAACTTAGATAATTATAGACACAAGTGTGTGAGTGTATATACTATTAGTATGTAAAGTACAAATATATGTATACATATATGATTATAATATATATTCTACATGCATACATGTAATCTATATAACATTAACTTGCATGCATATATTTGGCTTAATTTAATATATATGTAGACATATATAGATATGTATGTATATATATAATTTATATTCTACACAAATGAATTTAGAGAAGAAAATTGTTCATTGGATAAGCTTAGAATTTGAAGCAAAGGTGCACAATTTTGAGATGAGAATTGTAAAGGAACATCTGTGTTTGATTTATGAAAAAGATGTAAGGTCATTGATAGTACTTTTCAACTGTATCAATCCATACCTGGTGATGTTCTAAATGATGTCATTTTGAAATTTAAAAATTGTTGTTTATGATGGTATCTGTTGAGTGAAGAGCCAAGGTATTCTCAAATTGATGACGTATGCTGGAGGCTCGCTTGAATCATCTTGGATGTTTGTTATCAATTTTTTGATAAAGGCCTTTAGCTAAGCTTGCATCACTGCCTTTCAATATTTTCCTTTGCAAAACTGTAATGTATGCAAAGTAACAGTGTTATTTAATACTCTAAATTATGGTACAGGATGAAGTCAACCGGCTGTCAACTCTTCAGCCTCGAATCGAGAGATTAAAAATTCAAAGCATAGCCCTGAAAGAGAAAGGACAAGGGCCAATGTTCCTGGATGCAGACTTTGTGGCCTTTACAAATCATTTTAACCAAGTCTTTGCTGATATGCAGGCCAGAGAGAAAGAGCTACAGACAAGTAAGTAAAAATACTTACAATGACTGACTTGGAATTTTCGTAATTAGTTACTTGTCATGAAAAGAGTAAGTACTAACTTGAAAGAATGATTTCCATCAAAGAAACCATGCTCCCTACAACCTGTAGTAACAAGTAATGAAATGCTATTGTAGGAAAACAGATATGTTAGATTTCCATTTCTCTCCCTCCATTATAATTTCATGACTATGAGAAATAAAGCGTATGTTGTATATAGACATAACTTCTCCTTGGCAAGTTGCAAATTTTACAATCTGATGTTTGGAACATGGAAGGAAATAAAAGAGCAGTTGAAGCCCTGTTAGCAGGTTTTCATCAAATCCATTTTGCTTCATGTACAAGAATATCTAGCTAGGTGTCTTGCTAATACTTCTATCAATTTATATGAAGATTATTATAGCTGTAGCATACATGTGGCAACTGAAACTCAGCCAAGGACAGATTATTCTTTGGGCTGCATTTTACTATTGGATCACTCTAACTATACCATATCTTCTTTTTTCTTGTTTACTGGTAAAATACAATATTGCTCCACAACCGTGGAGCAATTATGCAGATACCTACCATATGACTAGCAAATTTTTCAGGATGTCTCTTTTGTCTTTCACCAATTTGCTTTTAGGATATTCATACACAGTCCAAATACCCCTACTCATCAGCCTACTTTTGAAGATAAAATTTCCTTTGACAAGCTGGTTTTTTAGCATGTTTAAGTATCAGTGAAAGGGTTTTTGAGTCACCATATACACATATGCATATGTATATATATGTACACACAGAGGAGTATAGAGTAAAACTAGATTCCAAAGCATTAAGATAAAAATATTTTTTAAAAGTTATAGAGTTTTTATGAGAAGCACAGGAACATATATTTGTTTTCTACCGAGACTTTAAATTTGTTGGAACACTCGCATTTTTAATTGCTTTCCTTTGTAAATATGCAACAAATTTACCACACAATAACATTTCTAGAATCAGTATAGTGTAATATATGGGCTTTCCTCACTTTCTAATGTTTTTTTCTTTTACTTCCTGGTGAGGTCATGTATTGAAAAATGAATGCTTTCTTTTTTTTCCCCCCCTTTACTTCAAAGTCATTTTTTGCTGAGGAGTTTATTTTACTGATAGGGAATGAAGGAATACAACTTTACAATCATGTCAGCTCCCTCTAGTGGATTTCAGTGTACTTGTTGCTGGGCTTCTATAAAATCAGTTGGGGAAAAGACTGTCCTAAATTTTCAAACATTGACCTAATTAAGAATAATGCATTTCCATTATCATAAAATCCATAAACCTCCCTTAAAATCAAGTACACATTGATGGTTATACTGTAACTCAGCAAAGGAGCATATTCACTGAAATTTATTTTAATATATATAAACTTATTAAGGTTTAACATATTTTTCTGGTTCTTTTAAAGGTATTCAAAATGTTGCTGTGTGATGACATATTGAATTATGATACTATAATATAAATATATAATAATATATACACTCTATCTATACAGCTATCAATATATTCGTCTATATTATCATATCTTCTCTTTTTCTTTCATATATATGATGATAGTTTATAAAAAACTGCCAAATATTTTCACTCCATTTTTGTCTAAATAAAATATTCCCCTTTCCACTTTAGTAAGCAAAATATCTCTAGCACTGTGATACAATCATTGGAAAACTTGTTTTCAATTCAGATCAGTTCAGTCGCTCAGTCGTGTCTGACTCTGTGACCCCATGAATCTAGCACGCCAGGCCTCCCTGTCCATCACCAACTCCCGGAGCTTACTCAAACTCATGTCCATTGAGTCAGTGATGCCATCCAGCCATCTCATCCATGTCTCAGCTGTTGTAAATAACGCTACAATGAGCAGAGTAGTGTGTGTGTGGTTTTGGTTTAGTACTTTTGTTTTCTTTTTTTTTTTTTCCATTTATTTTTATTAGTTGGAGGCTAATTACTTTACAGCATTGCAGTGGTTTTTGTCATACATTGAATCAGCCATGGATTTACATGTATTCCCCATCCCGGTCCCCCCTCCCACCTCCCTCTCCACCCCATCCCTCTGGGTCTTCCCAGTGCACCAGGCCCGAGCACTTGTCTCATGCA